TCGAACAGAAAATTGTCCAAAGTCACAAGTGTTTGCAATTCACGTCACCACCGAATTTTATAACATCACTTAATTTGTCCACCGTTTCACTACTGAGCCGCTGTATAATATAGGGAACAGGTCACAGGGGATGACGTGAGATGGTGCAAAGCGAACCAAACTACTCACGTCATCTTAATGTGCGTCTGATGCACGGGAAATCTGTGGGATTTGACAAATAAGCTTGCTCGTTCTTGCTTCCGCGAGTTGCAACATGATGTTATCCAACAATACCTTCTCCGAAAGCGATAACAAATGCACATCTTCAGCGGAGCCCGGAGAACGAATAGTGCCTCTGAAACTCAGAACCCGTAGCATACTATGCCACTTTTCATCCTATCTTCGACTATAGACCTCCTTCCAGTAGGTGAAGCGGCAGACAACGGAGTTGATATCATTCGGACAACAGGGGAATTGCATTTTCAATTTATTTGCGGAATCCAAACGGACGTTGGATGCCCTTGGACAGTGCGGAATATTTCTCGACCATGACTGCAAAGGTGGCATGTTACAAGACGTAGGCTTTCGGACCTTCAATTCTGACTTCGCCATAATTCGTCACCGGTTTTCCGCGCTTTCGGTGAAACACGGATCCTACGAACTTGAGAAAATCTGCTCCTAAGATTGTCTTCTCTGTCTGGGTTGATGAGGAACTCGGTTGCACGGGCCTCTCGCTTACGCGCATTAAGTTCATTGAAAATCCGTCAAATCTCAGTCGGTATCCACTCACTGCGCAGATAGCCAGCGCGCACAATTTGAAATCGGCCGGTGTGTTGAGCTTCACTGCAAGAGATTTATTTCGCGGCGATCGTCCATCTTCCGACGGTTCATTCTGGCTGCATATAGGGCTGCCCTCGCCTCGACTCTGAGGAGGGCCTTCGGGGTCGACAAATCAATCCATTAGGTCTCCAGTCCTGTCGCCATCGAAATTTTCCCAAAATCCCCCAGAAAAAAACCATCACTAACCCATCCTCAAAAGGGATCATCCGAATCATGGTCACGTATCACATGTAAGGAATGAAATTCTTGGGCAAATTGCTGATCGTGGGCGACCAGATGAATATCTGTAACCACGACGAACGGTACCGTACCATACTGATTGTAGATATGAGAGCTCTGTAAATGCCCTGGCAAGGGGAACGATAGAAGTCGGTCGCTCCAAAAATTTAGATATATCTTGGTACACTGTTCTCATCCCATAAGTTTGCGAGGGAACAATAGCCTATTTGGCGCTAAAGGCTCCAATTTGGTCGTCCGCGTTAGCGGTGCATCAAAATAAGGATGGTTTTTAGGGAAAAACGCATAGGTGACTGAGATAATGAAATGATGAAGAGAAAAAGTACCGTACAGCTGCATAGCGATTGAAACGCGCTTGATACTGTACGTTCTCAGGTCAATTGTAACTATTGAACCGGCCAAGGCACCTGACCCATCACAACATTCAGGGCAATGGGGGGGGGAGCGGAAAAAGTAACTTGAAGAAGGGTAACAGACAGGTATCATATTGACTTATCTGGAGGGGTAATTAGACAATTTCCCGACTGGACATAAACTTATCATCATTTATATCATATGTAATTCATTCCTGACGGCAGACAAATAGAAGACAAGAGAACTCGACCGACTACAGTACTCTGATGAAACAATCTAAACAAGGATAACACGATGACGCTAAAGAGTCTGGCGCGTACACTTACACTCCTACATGCGGTCAGGAAAGGTTCGCATTGGCTGTATAAGAGCGCTTTCTGAGCGCTTAAACCCATTTTCAGGGTTCTGTGTATTCAAGTTCTGATATTCATCCCGTCACAGTACACTATGCAACTCCAAAAAATTTTCCCTTGCTCTCGCTAAAAGCTTCCTGATCCGAATGTTATTCTGCCATATTGGTTCCGTAAATGCGCTTCAGAATTTCCCGCAATCATCTATAATCTGCTCCGTTTTCCCACATTCCAATTACCGGAGAACGTGCTACAAGTGTGGCCGTATTCTTGGGCCGCACTGGTCAAATTCTTGATGTCCGGAAGACTTTCTGCGGCACGGTGCTCTGCGGGCTGAGCGGAAAATGAAATTTTTCCTGACTTAGTCGACTGGGAGCTGCACTCTAGGCCGCCCAATTCTATCCTTTGGCTCCATAGCGTCATCGCGGTTGTTCGCTAAGATTCTGTTCACTTGCCCCATTCATTTCTGCCATTTGTCAACAAACTCCTGTGTTTCCGTCAAAACTGACACACCCTTGACATTTCCCATAATCACTTTTAGAACCCCATGTCTACAAAGTTTGTTGGCTTCAGTAGACGTTCAGCACTACGATCGTAAATGGCTCTGGCCAATATAACTCATTCGTCTACGTGAAGATCACGTCTCCATATTTTTTGCGCAAAACGACATAACTTCAAGAGTTTATGTGTGAGAAAAATAATAAATTAAAACTAACAATTTAGGTGCAGTACCGTGCCACTCAAAAGAAGCAAGACGGTTGAGGTACCGCCCAATTATAGACAAGAGTGGTCGAAATGCCAGGGTTGGGCTCGAACCATAGACCTTCCCATCATTAACTTCGCGCCTTAACCAATGAGCTATTTCGAGTTCTCTAGAGTAAACGTTGTCACTTCAATAAAGGGCATTTGATAGTTGTTCTATGGTTTTCCTTGTAAATCTAAAAACTTGAGAGGAGGGAGGCTGGTCTGAGGGGCCTCTTTCGCTTTTGTCGTTTTGTAGCACTAGCGGTCCAAGCAAAACATGACATGTTAAGTTCCACGCGACTTGATCAATCTAACGTCCCCTAGTTTGCGTTGCGCAGGCTAAGGAAACCAAGTGCCAATTGACATAGAGCTTGTCCTGTGAATTTCAATTGAGCCAAATATAGTACAGACGCATACGTTGTTCTGGCCAACACCACGGGCAATAATCGCACCGAGGGGAACTAGCTGACTCATCACTGGACAGAATTCTGAAACTTAGTTCAATTAACAACCCAGTCGAAAGGGATCAGTATACACGATGAATTTATCTGGGATAATTTGAGCCCTCCATGGAAACGAGTTTTACCTTCCAGTGAGATTTTTCGTATCTGTCATAAAGGTCAGATTCCTGAAAGAAACCTTAGGAAGTTCGGAACCTACTGAGACCCAAAATCTCCACCAAAATTTGAATAGGAAAGCCCGCAAGCATCCAGGCGAGTCAATAATTCAATCAACTAAGCGAAAGCCTATGAACATAGACGGTTACTGAAGCACGACCGAATGTGATAGGCTTTCGAGCATCTCAGAGGAGCACGACTGCCTGGTTCAATGCCAGAAAGTGCCCTTTACATAGCGCTGGGCCGTTGCAACATTTGCACTCGCACCCAATCGCTCGTCTGGAATAAATATGATGTGTACCTTATCGGTGAGACCTTTCTGGCACCATGCACAGGAGTGGAAACAGCTGTTTGATGTAACAATATCATTCCATTTATGTCACTCCGACATTTATCCAAAAACGTGGTGAAGTTGAAGAGTCCCACCAGATGGTGGCGAAGACCTGCTTTAATCGACCGCTAAATTCTGTGTGTAACCGAAGTAATCAGATTGCCGTCTGATTTGAGGTGTTTGCTGGATGCCCAGCGTTAGAAGTTCTGTTTGTATGCCGTAGGATGTCAGTGAAGTGCCTGGATGAAACAAATTCCATATATAGAAGAAAATCTCAGTGGCTAAGATTGCCGACTGCTGGTCACACATAGTCACAACACGAAAAGTCACTGAGACGGGAATTCCAGGCTTCTCGGCTTGCCCATCGCCAACTGCTTGCAGTCAGTAGAATCATTTACCAATTAACGAAGGACGACGTATTTCGTCCTGTGTTTTGCAGCGGACTCCCTTCACTAGAGTGGACGTAACCAGGCTCCAAAGAGCAACTAGTTAACTGCAATGTAGGAGTGTTTGTACACTGTAGCCCGTATTTCTCCAAAATCTTCCGACATAATCTGTGTTGACGGGTTTAGTCAACCGTAGAGGGACTGTCCAGTACGGACTGATTTTGCAAGTTGGTCCCAGGAATGACTTCTGTGTAACAAAGAAATCAACTGTCACACCATATTCACTCAGTGGCGTTGATTCGCTCTTGATTGATTCACCTTGTACGCCTACCTAATGAAACCCAGAAACGGGGTCCGGTAGTGAGTTGCTGAAGAGTCTTCAGCATTCGTACGAGGGGCGGGTCAATTCATGAATAATCGAACAATTTTTTGTTGCGTAGCAACCGATCGATTTGTTTACGCTTGGCGCTCTATTGGTCGGTTCCTGAGGAGGTATTCCTTCTTCTCTGACAATCGGTCCCTCCGTTGTGTTGATTTCTGTGCGGTACTACGCCTACGGCGTCTCCCAAACCTCTTTGGAGTGACGTGATAATGATTCTGGACAAAATACACCTGGCTTGCAATCGGCCGATGCTGTCCTTCGCGGACAAAATTAGACGAGTTGATGAATGCAAAATATCAACATCAGGTTGGTAGTTTTGTAGTACAACAACATACAACAACGTCGATACCAAACGATTACTTAACAGTCTGACTTTTAGACAAACTGACACTTTCTAAGAGACTTCATCTGAGCATTCGGTGAGGGAAAGTGTTGTATAGAAACTTATTCAAAGTCAGCGGGGCTGTTTGACGATGCGCCTCTAGCATGGTTAGAGTAAACGCGAGAAACAGTGAACTTTGTGCAATGTGTTTGGGTCGATAGACTATCCAAAAGCTGTCCTATCTGTGTCGATCGACCGGCATGATTTTACTCGTCCTGTGCATCTATCTTGCAATAGTACTTCAGATTTGTGAAGACGTCCTGATGAGTCCACAAGGTCTGAGAATCCCAACGGGTCTACCAAATGCTTTTACTGAACGATTTCTGGACGGCACAACACGAAACGGACAAGTTGCGGCTCATTTTATTTTGGTAAAATCACAAAACATGGTGTGTCCGTCAGGAACAGATGATGTGGACATAGTCGACGACAGTTTCAGCCTCGTATCCGGCTTTGCACAACTCCATTAGATGAGTTGTGTGCTGAACTACCTTGGGGTCCTGAACCCGTACAGATAACGGGCTCTTAGCTAGGAAATCAGTCTAAACATGAACACGAAAGATTCAACACGCATAAGAATGACTGAGGATCCTACATGTCCTACACGGGTTTGGACTAAGGACTAAGAATGATTTAAAACAAACAACAATGTGTTCACTCAAGATTCCTCCTAACGTCCACTAACAGATTTCGGCATTGCCGAGAAAAAGAGGCCACCATGCATAACCGTGGGGAAGATTCCTAGTGAGGCACACTGAATGTCAAGCTGATAATGGATCCACGATTCAAAAAGTTATTTGTGAGAGGTGTTGGGGTTTATCGGCACATCTGAATTCTAAATATCTCGAAGCGTGTTGATATAAACTCCCTCGATGCTAGCCGAGAACACGCAGAAGTTTCCAGCTACGCAGCAGGTGAGTGAATCTCCGTGAACAGGTGTTGCTCGTCAGGTAGTCGCAATCCGTCAAATTCCTGTTCTACTGGAACCCTAATTGGATACGTTTGTCTTGCTGATGATCCACTGAAGTCATACAAGGCAGTCAGCCGTACATGGAAGTGTCTGGGTTCTTTTTGGATAACCATCTTTCGCCAGTTGTTTAAATCGTGTGAAATCAGACGAACCAGATGAGTGCATGTGCGTTTCATTGGACTTCCTCAGTACTGTGGGTCCCAAAAACGCCCTCGCTTAGAAAGGACTAGCTCAGATTTGCTCATGTTTCCAATTACCTTTGTGTAACAATAGTGGTCAGTAATTATGTCGTTGAAGTGTCTTCTTAAGTTAGGGGTTTTTTGAGATCTAAGTGTTTTCTGGTGATCACCCAAATAAGAATAAACAGAGTGCGTTGACTGAATATTCACTAACGGAACACGTGATTCAACAATGATTAGTTATCCCATTTACGCAGTCGGTTGCTCAGGATGGAGAGAGTGGATATCAACTAGCCAGAAGCAAGTCCCACTAGTTAAAATTCGGCAGTGTGAAAAAGGCAAATGTTAAACTTCATAGCAAAAGCTTTATCAGCGAGAGACCCAGCAATGCTGCGATGACGTTACTGAGGATATTGGACGATTCTTGGAACCATCAACGATGTGGTATGACTGTCGGACAGATGTTACGTTGACGAAGTGTGTTGCCGCGTGCTTGTCCTTGATCATCTCTAAATATTAAAGGGGCTCGCAGAATCACTCCGATACCCAAGCCAGTGTAGAAGAGCACAGTACCGTTAGTCCATAGGGGCGGACCTTGGTGAATACAATATTGAAAATCGTGTTCATCCGTATCCTTTCAAGCAAACCACTTACAGGCATAATCGAACGATTTTTAACCCAAAACTGACTGATATCGTCTATTAAAAAGCGAGATTCATACCACCGTGTACAGAATAACCAGTGGCTAAGACATCAAACAAACCCCTGAAAATGGTTGTCAAAACATTGAAGCCACGATACACACTGAAAGTGAAACAAATATAAAAATATGAATTGACCGGAGCTCACAAGTTACGGGTATCATCTTGGGTATGTTCTTTTATTGTTTTACCGAACCGATGGTTTCTGCTGTCTGTTTGTTGAACGTCGAATGGTTCTAAAAATCCTCCTCGAAATTGTGCGTTTCTTAAATTACATTACAAGTAATTTCAGCCAGAATAGCTGGCCTAATTTTGCTTCACTGCATTTCCCAGCGATGCTGAACCCACGGACCATTTGAAAATAAGGATACGCCTCGTCACCATTTTCCGATGTAACTTCTGATCTGAATCTCATACTCTGTCGTGTTTGTCGTATTCTGCCGTCTGAAAATCAGTTTTGAATTGGCTTATACATACCAGGATGCCCAAGGGGGCTGGACTGGACTGCAATGAACTGGACTGTACTGTACTGTATTGTACTGGACTGGACTGGACTGGACTGGACTGGCTGGACTGGACTGGACTGGACTGGACTGGACTGGACTGGACTGGAATGAAATGATCTGAACTGAACTGAACTGAAATGAAATGAACTGAACTGAACTCAGGCAGCTTCGCTTCGGACTGGACTGGACTGGACTGGACTGGACTGGACTGGACTGGACTGGACTGGACTGGACTGGACTGGACTGGACTGGACTGGACTGGACTGGACTGGACTGGACTGGACTGGACTGGACTGGACTGGACTGGACTGGACTGGACTGGACTGGACTGGACTGGACTGGACTGGACTGGACTGGACTGGACTGGACTGGACTGGACTGGACTGGACTGGACTGGACTGGACTGGACTGGACTGGACTGGACTGGACTGGACTGGACTGGACTGGACTGGACTGGACTGGACTGGACTGGACTGGACTGGACTGGACTGGACTGGACTGGACTGGACTGGACTGGACTGGACTGGACTGGACTGGACTGGACTGGACTGGACTGGACTGGACTGGACTGGACTGGACTGGACTGGACTGGACTGGACTGGACTGGACTGGACTGGACTGGACTGGACTGGACTGGACTGGACTGGACTGGACTGGACTGGACTGGAATGAAATGATCTGAACTGAACTGAACTGAAATGAAATGAACTGAACTGAACTCAGGCAGCTTCATTTGGCTGATGTACATCTTTGTATATCCACAAGCACATTGCGAGGAACAGGATTTCCTATTCCATAACATCTTGGATTATTTAGAAGTCCGATTTACCTAGATTATTTTCCTGTTTCTATGAGTCACCTTGGAGATACCGAAATTTGACGTAACCTGGCTTCGGAAAATAGCTCACAACTGTTGAAATAATGATCTCGATGTTGCTAGTTGCAGGTTCTATATCAAGATAAGAACGAGGATACCAGTGATGTGAGTACCGGGTTTGCTCCGAAAGTTCCTCCCGTGTAGGTTGTTTGCTGGACTTTCATCTTGTAGTGGTTTTGGGACTGAGGATTGCGCTACGTGACGCCATGGGTGAATGCATTGGATAGCAATGTATGTATATGTTTGCAAACCCTTGTTTACGCGCCCCATGAGGTCAAAGTAACCGCTGAAGTGAAGCAGTGGCTCCAGAATTGATCGAATACTGCCTTGAAACACATGGGCTCATCCCTCTTGGAAAAGCCCCTAATCGTTGGCTTATGTTGGTTGTCACATCCATCACGATGTCGCGGAACGTTTCCTTGACGACGTGGCCTAGCTGACACAAGCGAGGGGAATGTTTGTGGGAGATAACCGATAGATTATGAAAGATTTCTCGCACATCTCAACAAAAAACTTTGGATTCTTAGGTGACATCATGAAACGTCCGCTAATGTACTAGATTGATGACAGTTTATTTGCTCCCATGCATCCTCTACACCTGTTCTCCACTACAAAACTCGAGTCTACACTAAATGCCTTTTATCGTGCTTTCAGACGCTAGTTGGCTATCAGTAGGATAAGAAAAAGAACTGGAAACACGAGGCGCACGGTGCAGGTTTTTCCGGGCGGTCTCACGTTCTTCCGCGGCCGTGGACTCCATCAAGCGACGAGACATTGAAAACAAATGCGCACTTAAAGAGAGCTTTCCATCTGCAACACTCGGCTTGAATCGAGAAAACAATTGGGCAACATTTACAGTGAACAATAACTCTGTCAATGCTGACTGACGGAATTGTCTTCATAGACTACTCCCTATCAGCGATAAACCACCCAAAATCATCTGGTTGCCAGGGTAACGCAAACTACCACCGGAATTTATGCATCTGCACATCATATTGAGGTATGCAGGACAACCTAGAAATTTCCATGTATTACAATGAATATTTGAAACGGGGCCTTAATCCTCATGTGTAGTAAAATGCCATGAACTCATCGAAAATATCCTTGCCGGAACAACGCTTCCGTTGCAGAATCAAGGAGCACCTTGAATTTAGCAGGTGGTAATTCTTGCGCACAGTTCAGGATCAGTGGTAAACACCATCTTCTGTCATGGGCATAACATGAAGTCTCCGAAAAATTCCATTCTTGTTCATTATAGTATGCTAGATTGATTAGTGTTAACCGTCTGCTCAATTAATTCAGCTGATGATTCGCGCAATCATCAAAGGCTCAACCACGTTGATTCATGCCGGTTTCGACTGGCCATAGTTTATCTGTACCTACCTATCCATCTATATATCCATCTGACTACCAATCTATGTATCTATCTATCTATCTATCTATTATCTATCTATCTATCTATCTATCTATCTATCTATCTATCTATCTATCTATCTATCTATCTATCTATCTATCTATCTATCCTAAATATCGAATATTGTCCTGAACACCTACTTCTATAACCCCATCATTCAGTGTACTTTGTCAGAGTTGAGTCCTTTTTCCTACCAGAGTGTGTGCAACAGTCCTTCAGAAATTTAATGTAGTTAGAGAACGCTATGGTTATGACAGTCGACTACAGCGCCCCCTTGGTTCTCCAGACTAGCGCCTCAGACGAGCCGTACTGGTGTCTCTTGATGTCCTCAGGACATATTGTTGCACGGTACTATGTATGCCGAGCAGAAAATGCGCATTTATTCCGACTTGGTGGACTGGGATCTGCTCTACAAGCTGCACAATTTTCTGCCGGCTCTATGCTGTCGTTGCAGTTGTTCCCCAAGATTCCGTTTGTTCGCCTTACCGTGAAAATGCCATTGGTCAACGAATCGCTGTTTCTGTTCAAAAGAGATATAATTCTGAGTTATATTCCGAGTCTACAATTCCGAGCCTATGACGACAAATTAACGTTCCTACCATCTGTTTTAGATTTTCTTGGCTACCAAGGTTATGGGTGTCGGTAGACTTTCAGTAAAACCTTGGTAAATGGCTGGATAGATGGTAACTCGTTCGTCCACGTGAAGATCACTTGTTCATACTTATTGCAATATTCGACACAACTCCGGCTGTTCATGTGTAATACAAAATAAATACAAAGCAGTTCTTCAGATATCGTACCGTGCCACCCAAAGAATTACGAGGGTTGAGATATTGCCGAAGGGCGGTCGAAATGCCAGGATTGTGCCGAACTGCGGATTCCCCGACCCGTAAGTCCACCCTTAACCAATGCTTGAGCACTGAAGCGACAACACTTTCAAGTCAACCGGTGGCATCTGAGAGTTCTACTGTGATTTTAGTTGCAAATCTCAAAATTTGGGTGAAGGGGCCGAGGTGAGTGATTTGATCTTGTCGTCTTCGTAGTAAGTTCAGTCTGGGCGAAATATGACATGTTAAGTTCCTTTCAAATTGCTCAATCACACATCTCCTATTTTGATAGCAAAAGACGTCATTACCTTTAGTTAAACTGCATCCTAGTGGAACAAAATGACAATCCCCATCTGGCTTGTATCGGGAATTTCGATTGAGTCAAATGTCACACTGCTGAATACGCTGTTCTGTCCATCCTCGGGAGCGGCAATATTTGGGTGATTTATTCTTGGGACACAAATAATACCACGAGTAATTTGCGGACCGAGAGTTGTGAACCAACTTGTCATTGAAAAAAATTCCGAAACTTATTGTAATTTAGAATTCCACTTGAAATAGTCCAGAATACACGACAGATTTATCATTTGAGGACCCCGTTAAGAAGTGGTTAATGTGCGAATGAACGTATTTGTATCTCTCAGGAATGTCAGATTCCTGGAGGTAGCCCTACGTTTCCCGAAAACAACTGAGACCATAAAAGGCCACCAAAATCTGAATAGGAATGCCGGCAAGCATCCAGGACAGAAGCACGATTGATGTTGATGTTTGTTCACTAAACGGCTATCAGAGTGCAAGGATCAATGCCGGAAAGGGGCCTCTAAATAGTTCGGGGCCCTTGTAACGTTTTCGCTCGCACCCAACCAGTTGTTTCGGATAAATATGTTGTGTATCTTTATCGGTGAGTTCTTTCGCTCGCCAGACCCAGTAGTGGGAGAGGCAGTTTGATAAAACGGTACCATTCCTTCTATTTCACTCCGACATTCCTCTAAAAACGAGGTGTGGTTGAAGAGTGCGATCAGTGGCGACAGCCCGTACCAAACTTTCAACACATTCTCTGTGTAACCGAAGTAATCAGACTCGCGTATGAGTTGAGGTGTTGCCTGAATGTTCGGGCTCTGATGTTTTGTATGCCGTGGGGTGCCGGTGAATTGCCCGGATGCAGAACATTCCTTCCAATGCTAACGGACCAGATAGCTGAAGAAAGATAGCTCTCCCGATTCCAAAAAGCATCTGGTTCTGTGCGATGTAGGATGGTTTGTTTACATTGTTCCACATCTCACATAAAACTTCCGTCACAGTCTGTGGTTTGACAGATCTAGTCAACCGCTGAAAGCCCAGTGTGGAATGATTTCGCACGTTATTCTCATGATAGACATCTCGATGGCGCTGATTCGTCCTTAATTTATTCGTCTGCAATTTCCTGTCAACCTTGTTTTAACTGAACACCAAATTGTGCGCCTATCGAATGAAACGCAGAAAGGGGAGAACTGTGGTTGTTGCTGAAGAGTTTTATGCAATCTCATGGGTTTCAGATCGTTTCAAGAAAAGCCTCACAATTTTTGTTGTATATCAACCGTTTGGCCAACAGGCCTGTTGTGTCTTCTGACATTTTATTAGTTAGCCCAGATTGTTACTCCCCTGGTAATCGGTCTCGACGAGGTGTTATTTCTGTGCGGTACCTTGCATGCGGCGCATTTAGCAAATCTTATTTGGAGTGACTGTAAATGGTCCTGGACAAGATACATCTGGCTTGGAATCAGTCGCGTTCTCTCGCACGCACATAAACATAGAAAGCTGATAAATATAATACAATGACATTTGGTTGCCGAACTCAAAATTGAGGAGCTTTGAGAACAGATGATTCCAAACGGCCTTTTGCTGGTCTGATTGTTAAGGAAACAGACACCGTTCGAATGATCTCATCTCGATAAAGTTGTGGATGGCTGTGGGAGAACTTTTTCAAAGTCGATGGAACTGAGTTTGACGATACACAATTGGAGTGAACACGAGAAAAATTGAAATTTGAGCAGTGTGCTTGGGTCGACGGACGACCCAAAAGCTGTCCTACCTGTGTCGACCCACTGGTCCATTTTTATTCGTCCTGCACACCTATCGTGCAATAGTGCGTCAGATTTGTGAACGCGTTTTAATAAGTCCAGAAGGCCTGAGAATCCCGACGGTGTTAACTGAATTCCTCCAATCTTGACCGAACGATATTTAATGAAAAAACACAATCCATATTTAGTGGCGATGGCAGAACTCGGAAAGGACAAGCTTCAACTCATTTTATTTTGGTGAAATCACACAACATGGTGCGTGTCCGTTAGGAACAGACGTTGTGGACAGCGTCGATGAGGGTTTCAGCCTCGTTTGCACAGTTCCATTAAATGAGTTGTTTCCTGAGCTACCTCGGGGGCCTGAATATGGATAGGTAACAGGATCTAAGCTGGGAAATTAGTCTAATCATAAACAAATAAGATTCAACACGCTCATCCAAAACAGCTATGGACTGATGACTGAGAATGTTTTTAGACGAACGTAGCAGATGACTGCAAATGAGTGTGTGATCTCTACGAAACAATATACGTAGAAATACTATGACCAGTTTCTTCCGTGTTCGGGCTCGTCAGGCAACGCAGTCCTCAAATTTCCTTTAACCTTGTGTTCCGCTTGAACCCAAATTGAACAGATTTTGACAAACGCTCGCACCCGTATACGAATTTGGTTTTTACAGGAGACACAAGTGAATTTAGTTGAATCTCGCCAAGGATGGTTCCCTTCCATCGAGTGCTCAACTAGAACACAAGGTTGATGGGAACTCGGAAAGTGCGCCCAGTTGATGAGCCCTTTGAAATGCAAAACTGGACATGAGCTGTCCGAAACCTTTCAGCAGCCATGTGAGTTGTCCACTTTACGTAGCTAATACTACTGTGCTGATAATGAGGTATTTAAAACGGTGACAAACATCCTCCAGATATGATTTAGGTTGCAAGATCTATCAAATGGAAATTTGGAGAGAGAGAAACCATTCCAGATGGTTTTAGAAGTTTTAAAATCAGTCAGGTAACTTGGCTTGTTGATAATCTACCGAAGTTATAAAAATTAATCATCATTAGGGAAGTGTTTGGGTTCTTTTTCGTTAAACTATGCTCCCCATTTGATCAAATCATATGGAATCTGACGAACCCGTAAAATCCCTGTGCGTTTCGTTGGGATTCCTATGTACAGAAATGATTACTTAATATTCGCTCGCGTTCCCACTTACCGTTGTGGGCAAGCACGACGGACTGAAAAAGCTGAATTGAACTGAAGTGAAATGAAAGGGACTGAACTGACCTGAGATTTTCTCAGTCATCATTCTGCTGCTGTCAAACTTGGTGTATTCACATTCCAATTTACTTACATCATATTCGCTTCTCCCTACGTTTCCCGGGGCCGCGTAAGGTGCGGACAATTCGCATGGCAACTGAAAGACTGGCAGATCCGGATGTCAGACGAACTTACAAGAATCGGCTTCTAGAGTCTCTTCCAAGTGCTCCATCATCAGATGTGCACTCATACTGGGACGAGATTGACACCTCTTTGCATAGTGCTGGGAATTTCGCCTGTGGCACGACCCGACCAGGCGCACTCAAGCATTGGATATCAGACCGAACGGTGGCACTACTTAAATCTCGAAGAAATATCCCAGCCGGTCCCGAACATAATCCAGTGCGAAGAGTTATTAGACGTCAAGTGAAAGTGAGCTTGCGATCTGATCGTGAAGTATGGTGGACACAGAAAGCCAAAGAAATGGAAGAGGCCCAGAAAGCCG